CCGCGCTTCCCAGCTTCACCTGCGACACCCCCCCGCCAGCTGAGCCCCGCTTCCGCCACCGCGCTTCCGGCTTCCGCCACCGGGTGGGCGCGTGGGGCATGCCGGGCCGGAGCGGCGGGGTGCGGTACCGGGAGCGATTCGCGTCCCGTCACCGATTACCGTGGCCGTGCGGGCAGTCTGGACCGGAATGGGGGAAAGCCGTGCGGCGCCTGAACTGGGCGGCGGTAGCACGCAGCAGCCGTGCCTCTGTGAAAGCGGAGCGCTTCAGTCTTTCTTATTTTCTTTCAGAATACTCTCGCGGAGCGGACGGGGTCACGAGGAAACGGCGCGGGGCCTCGGCCGTCCCTGCACGGCGGCTCTGGGGAAGAGCGGCTCGTGCTGAAGTGCGGCGCTGGGCCCTGGAACGGACAGCACGCAGATTGTGCGAGGAGGAAATATCGGCTGCGCGCATCTGGCGTAGATCAGAGAGCAGGAAGTTGCTCGGTGCCCTTTCCGATTATTTTTTTGTAAGATGTTTTAGGAAAGGAGACAGAGTAGAGAGAAAGCGCCGTTCTCCACCTGTTTTATTTCCTCATACAACAATAAATTGGAGGAGCAGCTTTCAGAAATAGCACCCGCAGTGTGCTGCCCTCGGGGGTCAGGCCAAAAAGCCCCTTTTCTTCATGCCAGAGCCGAGAGGAAACAAGGCAGGTGTTGGGAGCCAGGGGAGCATGAGCAACTCTGAAGTTAATAATGAGAAAGTACTCCACATCCTGTTACATAAGGAGTTACATAAGGTTTTCCCATGCCTAGGTTGAAAGCTTCTGTTTCAGCTTCTTCTAAAATTCTGTTTTATTTTAGAGATCTGTTCTGCTGTGAGAGTAGAGTAAAAAAATGAAGGCTGAGTTCTCTCTGTAAAGTGATGCTGAGAAAGCATCAGCTGAGCAACCATAGGCTGCACCTGTGTCTTCCTGTTTGTGCAGAGGGAAACATGTGAATGATAGGGAAAACAAAATGAAGTGCTGAGAAACAGACATTCGAGAGCTGAGAGAAACTGAAGTGTCTCAGATCAATCAGCTCGTCCCTCAGTGTAATTCACCTCAAACAGAGGAACAAAAAACCCCCGTGTTTAGTGATGGATCCTCATAGTGAGCCTTAGAAGATAACCTTGTCGTAAGGGAAACTTTTACATGGTGTGTTCCTACATATGTAATGCTTGCCAGTTTAGTATTTAAGATCTCAAACACAAATACATTTCACTAAAATGTGCATCAGTTGTATTTTTTTACCTGTATTAATGTGGGATCCCTCTGTTCTTCCTACCAGTAGGACAAATGGAGCAGTCCACAGTTTGTTAATTCTCAGATCTTCCTCTAAGACTTCATCTAATTTAGTGTGCTGTTGTCTAAAGCTGCTGGACTTAAAATACTTGCACAATTCCTTTAAGGGATGTTCCCAAGGAGATATCTGAGGTAATAGATGGATGAGAAATGCGTTCACTTATAGAAATCATTATTAGCTAAATAAACTCTCACATTAGTAGCTTTCTGTGCTTTTTTTTTTCTCAGATTTTTTTTTTTTTTTTTTTTTTGCCAGCAGGTTGTCTGTATACATTTTCACTTCATAGGAAGAGCTAATTTACGCTCATGTATACGTACCTATGGCATCTGAAGGGTCATATAGTCAGTTGCACAAGAATATATGTATTAAAACCTATGAAATCAATTCAGGAGCACTGAAATCTAAACTTTTTGGGGGGGGAGGTGGGAGGGGGAAGCCCACAAACTTACACAACCTGTTTTTCAGCTAGTGAAAATAGTATTAATTAACAATAGATGTTGTAACTACCCTGTTAGCTAATGACACACGCAGTCAGGCAATTAGGCAATTAACATGCTCAGTCCCTTTTATAGTGTGCAGGGGCAGGCAGAAAACAATACTAGGTATAACATGGAGATTTAGAGCTTCAAACAGACTGCTTTGCCCCTAGTTCTGTGAAATCAAAATGTCTAGACCTTGGTTCCACCAGGATGGAAATGGTTGGATAGTTGACATCCTCAAAAACATCACAGCAGGGCATCAAATGCTGACCTGACTGATAAAAAGTTCCCCAGAGGTGTCAGCAGTAGTACCTTTATCACTGTGACCCCAGCTGGTACCCCAACATTCTCCGCACTTGGTATTTCACTCTCATCCACGGTTTATTGTCTTTTTCCCCTCATCAGTAAGCTGTGGCTTAGAAACCTGAATATCACTTCTCTTTTTTTTTAAGGAGATTCGGAGCTGGTACCTTCTCAATTAAGAATTTACCAGACTTGGGGTTTTGTTAACTTCCTACCAAATGACTTCAATTGAAACTACCTCAAAATGCAATGCGACAGCCACCATTACAAACAAAAGCACTGACCTGCTGATCAGCTCAAATCTGACCCAAAGCTATAGCTGGGGTTGATACAGCAGTAGATCATGGTGAAGAATGCAAATCTGATGATTTTCTTCATCCTTCTGATAAAAGATAATTTTCCTCAGACACAGTCCACCACCATCTTATGAGACAGAGGTACGAGAGCTGTTTGATTATGGGAGGAGGGAATTCCCGTGCTTGGGACAGTAAGGAAATTGGAGGAAAGATGCAGTTTGCCACAAAATTTGACAGAGACCTTAGGGACTTAAACTAACACAGTGCACAGGTTCTAAGCTAGGCTCACAGGAGGACTGTCAATAATGGATTATTCTGTTTCATGCCATGAGGAAGGTTAGCACTTCTTAAAATAAGATGCATAAATAATTCTTAAATTCAGGAAGCAGGGATCCTCCAGGGCAGTATTTGGAACTCCCAAAGTTGAAGGACGATCTGAATCTTCCTGTGGAAAGAAAGAAGATGAATACCATGACAGAAGTGACTGTGAGGAGGCAGGATGATGCTCCCCATACTTCTCGACTATCCAAGTCAGTAGCCACAAGAAGATGCCCCTATAAAGTATGCATGCCACTACTCCAGGTATAAAAGCTTTGCTCAGTGGTCCTTCATTGATTTGGGGATTTGGCATGGTTCTATTTTGTCTTGGATTGTTTCTGGGTGTTCTGCCAAGTGCCAGGTGCTGTGCCAAGCAGTGTCTCTCAGGCTCTCCACTCCCATCACTTCTGTCCTTGTACTTCTGTTCCCAGACTGCCACAGCCACAGCTCCCCTGCCTGGCCACCTGGGCAAGGAGTGCTCACCATGCTCACTCCCCAGCCTTAGTGTGCCAGAGAGCACTATCCTGCCCCAGGTACTTCATACACCTTCCGCTGGACTTCCTCTGGCTGATGCAGCTGGAACAAGCCTGAAACAGATTAGCAGATACATGCACAGAAAGGGCAAGCTGAATTTCTGCAGTGGGAACAAAATTTCATGTAACAAAGTGAAGCCCTTTTACCACTGGTTGCTGCTTGTTCCTCCAGGCTGATCACAGGCAGAAAACAAGGAGATAAAAATGGTTTTTCCTGTTTTTTGCCATTTTAGTGGCTGGTCAGTGGGAGTATGTAAATGACATACTGACACTGGGTTTGATGCTTCTCCCAAGTTTCCCAGGTAGTGGCTAAAACTTCCTTCCAAGGGATCTACCACACACATTCTTGCAATGCTACAAAGCCGACATTGTGTAAAGCACTCAGCTAATGGGTGGGTGCATGATACCAAACAAGCCAGGTACCAGGCAATATACTGTAGCCCAATGTGCTAAATTCTGTCTCATATACTTTGGCTAATATGGCAGAAAATTTGTCCTGCACTGCTGTCCAATTGGATTCCTTCCAAGGGATTTACTGCACACAAACACATTTGTACTGCCAGATGACCTGTTAGTGTACAGCACCAGCAATGGAGAGAGAGGCACACATCTTACAGATTATGGGAGTTCTGACAGTTTACATCAACAGGACTCTAGGTCACGAGCTATAAGAAAGCTGGAACACCTGAAGATCTCACAATGCCTAATGAAATGCTGCATGAAAGAAGGCTCTCACCTGCAGGAACAGTGCTCTCCTGGTGAGGAAAAATGGTTTACAAGACTGTGGGGGTCCAAAAAGAATCTAAAAATACAGCTGGAGTTTTGAAGTGTGTTTTGATAAGAAAAAGGAGATGAAAGAAGTGCACGCTAAGAAACTAAACAGATTTTGTCAAGGGATGAAGAAATAACTATGGGTAAGATTCTTCATCTTGACATGACCTGTTGTAGGACTGGAATGGTGTAAATAGGCAGGTAGATGCGGTGCCTGGTACTGCTCACTGATATCTTTTGTCAACATCACATGCAACACAGCAGTTAGCTTTTACAAGAAACAGTAGAAAATACAAGTTGCTTCAGGAAAAGACAGAGGACAGAAGGAAAGCTTTGCTAATATGACATATTTCAAATTACAAATGGGCTCATTATGTTTATGCTATTCAACTGGAACAGTCCTCGCTCATGTTCCTTCCCCTTCCAGCTCTGGGAAAACACACGTTGAAGAAATTTCCAAAGAAATCTTGCTTTCACTTTTTAAAACATCACAGGCTGAAAGCATGGAAGAGGTGAGGAAAGTAGTGA